AAAGATTGAGAAATATATATCGTTTTTTGTATTATTTATCACCTAGAGATGCATTGTTATAGCTTTATATTGTCTTCATATTTAGTGTTTAACATTTAGAATGAATGCACAGTTTAATATATTATAGATACTATTATATTAAGTTGGTGACATACATTTTACATAAATGTAGTGTTATAAATTTCAAGCAACGAATTTTTTACTAATTATTTGTTTTAAAGTTTTTTACATTTTATTTAATTTAATGGAATTTTTTAGTATATTTTAAGAATTAGAACAAGAAACAAGCTAAAAAAATTAAAGCTTTGTGGAAAATTATGTTTAAATTACACATTATGATTATGTGTTACTTTGATTATTATTGAATCTTTTTATTACTTTCCTATGTGCATCATGTTTTCTTAAATTCAATTTTTCCTATGTGTTTGAGTTGTTTTTTAAGTTTTCGGGTTTATACATTTTTTTAAGCTTATGTTAGTAATAAGTTAAATTTGAATGCAACAGTCATCAGTGCGAACATTGATGTATGAAGTTAGCTATGATATAAGTAATATTGGTTGATTAGTTAACGTAAGGATTAATGCTCTGTTTGATTACTCTTCTTTTATCTATGGTTTGAAGCTTAATGCCGAATCAAAGTTATTGTAAAAGATAGTGAGAATACAGAGTTATTAAAGAAGTGTAGTGTTTTAGTGTGATTTAGGAGAATCACTAACTCGAATACAGAGTTACTGAAGAAGTATAGTGTTTTAGTGTGATTTAAGAGAATCACAAACCCTATATACAGTAGTATCTATACTATATAAATCTGATACCAGCTGTTCACGAGGCCGAGAAGAAATAGACCTGACATTGCTCGTAGAAGTCAAATAACACGCCAAAAACGTAATTCGCGTAATAACTGCACTGATGGGCAGATGGAGATTGATAATAATGATAGCCAGATTGCAATGACAGATTTGCTAGAGAACAAGTTGCTGCAAATCGATCACAACAGCAGCGAGCACGCGAAAATAAAACTTTTCGAATTCGCAGAAGCAATGCTTCAGTCAACCTGGAGCGTGCAGCATTCTCTTATGATCCGGAAATAGATTACAGTGCCCACAAATTTGTAAAAATTGGAGACATGTCGATCATTTGTCAGCACTGTAAAGCCTTATAATACAATGGTGAATCTGCAGGACTATGTTGTGCTAAACACAAAGGAGGAGCTTATTCAATGCGTATTTCCAGATATAAACCAACAATTTCACGATCTCAATTGGCTGAGCGAACGAGCAATATTGGCGGCAAAAAATAAAGATGTCGACGATCTCAATGCAACAATACAAAGTTCACTTCCAGGGGAATGCATTACTTATAAATCTGTAGACACCGCTACAAATCAGGATGACATACTGAACTATCCTACAGAATTTCTAAATTCATTAGAATTGCCTGGGCTGCCACCACATAATTTACAATTGAAAGTAGGATCAGTTGTCATCATGCTACGTAATTTAAATCAGCCCATACTATGCAATAGAACAAGATTGGTTGTAAAAAAGCTAATGAATAATGTAATTGTGGCAAAAATAATTAAAGGTAAATACAAGGGACAAGATGTATTGATCCCGCGAATTCCTATGATCCCAACGGATATACCATTTGATTTCAGGCGTTTACAATTTCCAATACGCCTCGCTTTTGCAATGAGCATCAACAAATCGCAAGGACAGTCGCTACAGGTTTGCGGTATCAACTTAGAGTTTCCATGTTTCGCACACGGCCAATTATACGTTGCGTGTTCGCGCGTCGGGAAACCATCATCCTTATTCATTTACGCACCGCAAAAAAAGACCAAAAATATTGTCTACAAAAAAGCTTTATATTGAGTCCAAAACATTCAATTCATAAGCAAATGTATAAAATATTTTATATATGAAATATAAAAAAAAGGTATTTTTGATAATTAAAATATAGTATATATGAAAGCTTCGCATTAATTCCAACCAAATGTGTTAATTATTTCATATACAAGATTTAATTAAATTTTATTAATGATTATTTATGTGATACGAAGTTCAGCGGGTCAGCTAGTCATTTTATATAAGTCTAGTTTATAGAATAGAACAGTTTTAGCTCATTCACTTTCCAATGTTTCTTACATATCATCTTAAAAATCAAACTTTTCAAAATCAAACAGACATCGTGCCATAAGGCAAATTGCTAAAATTTTGCGATATTAAAAATTTTGGTTCGGAACCCAAAAAAACATTACACAAAATGTATACACATTATTAAAATCTCTATAAAATATCTGATAACTTCATGTACATATATCCGAAAAACATTTTGTACCGCCAAATAACATTTTTTTAACTTTTTTTTGTTGAGAGTCCATAAACGCTGGACCTGCCTTCCCAAAAATTTAATCAGTTCTTCATCTTGTCAATACAAGTAAAATCTTTTTTGAATTATTAAAATCGGACGCGCTGTTCTCCTAAAAACTGAGTAACCGTTTTTGGACCTTTTTGCCCCGTATCTTCGGAACGGCTAGACCTGCCTTCGCCAAAAACTAATGAGCACGTCTCCTTATCACACACACACCACACACACAAATACACATACAAACACACACATGAAATTTTAACACTGGAGGAATGAAGAAATCAGCTCTCTTCATAATGAGTGCCATAAGAAAAGAAGGATCTCTCAGCGAGGTTATAGTCTCACAAATCCTGCACAATTGATAGTGGAATACAAACAGACACTTGACACGGCAACTAAATAAAGCTATCAAAGATAGTGATGTTAGGTTCTGGAAAGAGTTGTGGATGAAGTCGAGAAAAACCCATGGGGAAGGCCTTATAAGGATGTAATGTTACGCCTCAAAAACCAGCTAATGCCTTCACCAACTTGCCCACGACTATTGAATAAAACAGTAACAACTTTGTTCCCAAACTAAGCAATCATAAATTCCACAACGTTTTGATTAATTTATTAAAAGCCAACAGTTTTTATGACATTTTTGAATATATTAATTTTGACTTCAAGAAATACAGTGGTGCTATTTCCTTCATATTATAAATGTCATATTAAAATGTGATATCTTACAATTACAGCAATTTTTGGCTATAACTGAGTATTACTTAGCTGTGAAATATTTTTCTTCTTCTCTGATACTGCTCTTTTTTTCCAGATACGCGTCTAAACTTTTTAATAATTGCTGCGGATCAATGGATATACAGAACCTCAACTTTTGAAGATGCTCTAAACATAATATCAAGTTTCATAAAATCAAGACACAAAATTAAATTATTTTAGCATTCCTTTATGTGTATTTTATATCTGGTTGTTTTGTTATTTAATTGTAAAATTTTGATTTGAATTGTATAAACATTAAATTTCAATCAACAGGTGGAACACGTTATTGCTAAGGCGTCAATAGTTAGGAACAGACTTGCTCAACTGGTGCCTAATGTTGAAGGCCCTGAACAAACCAGAAGGATATTACTATCATCAGTGGTTACTTCGGTGCTTACATATGGTACCTCCATATGGGCTGATGTTCTCAAAACTCAAAAATCAAGGAGAATGGCAGGACCTATATATCATCTGAGTGCTTTAAGAATTGCTTGCGCATTTCGGACAATATTGGAGGAAGCAGTGTGCATCATTTCAGGAACTCTGCCTCTCTTAGTCTTAGCAGAAGAAAGACGGGCAATTTACCATCAAAGACATTAACTACTGAGTCCTGAAAAGTTCAGAATAGAAGAACGGCAGAACAGCATTAACCAATGGCAGCGACTGTGAGGCGTCGCAGTGAAAGGCAGATGGACGCATCGTCTCATTCCAAACATCAAAGTCTGGCTAAATCGCAAGCATAAAGAAGTGAATTATTACACTACGCAAATGCTATCTGGGCACAGCTGTTTTCGTGCCTACCTATATCGCTTCAAGCACGATAGCTCGCCGGATTGCCCATATTGTTTGGGCGAAATCGAAGATGCTGAGCAAGTGCTCTTCGTGTGCCCGCCATTTAGTGCTCTACGGAACGATGTAGAAGAAATTTTGAGGCTAAGAATTACTCCAGGTACTGTTGTTAAAGCGGTGCTGACAACTGAAGCTGCTTGGTACGCCACAGACAGATTTGTCTCAACGCTTTTCATGAAATTTAACATTGCGATAAAGTTCATGCAATAAACTAAATTGTCTTACAAAAAGTGATTGAATTGTATAAAATAATCAAAATTTAGAATAATAGACTACAATTTTAGGACATACAAGCAGTTGTCTGTGCACTCCTATTAATATAATGACTGATAATATAAATGTGTCGGAGAGATATCAGTTGGAATCAGTTGGAAATCGCAATGTTTTAACTAAATTGAATTGAACAGTTAAACATTTTATTTATCAGGACTTTTTGCAACTTGCCTTAAGGAAAAATGCCACTTTCAACTAGTTTATTTGCTTTTCATGTAAAAATATAAATAATGAAAGTTACAGTATTTTTATTAATCTATTTGATAACATTTAAAATTATTCAAATATTTTATTACATTGAATTAAGTTCCAACAATTTTCCTCAAGGCATGATGCCATGGACTATTAGTTTGATAAATGTATTATAAACTCAGCTATTTTAAAGATCAATACTGGCTCATGCATTGTCAAAAACTTTTGTGAATTTGAATTGTTATTCAAATAATTAATTATATGCTAAGAATAACATTAGAAGGTGAGCTTTATAGAATTCGAGTACTAAACTCGCCATATAAAATATTGTTGCACTGTACCATACTCATCAAAGATACAAACAAACCAATACACAGTAATAAAAGGTCACAAATACTAACAATTTCAAAGAATTGATTCAAGTTACAAGTTGAAATAACATGACGTAAACTATCTTGACATTAAATTCACTCATCATCAATTTCTCAAATGAGTGCCAGTGGAATAATCATTTTAAGTTTATCAATTACTTTGCAATAACATTTATCCACACATAATACCTTTCTGAATCTCTATTATATCCACTACATTCTCTGGGCCACGAATCTTTACCATGAGTATATTTTCCATACTGAGAAGTCCATGGCCAATTTGTGTTATTATACCATCTATTTTCTCTGCCACGGTGATAGCTCATCTTTCACCAATAAATAAAATCTAAAAAAACACAAATTTAATGAACCCCTGTTCAGGATATAAAAAATAAACAAGCAGGTTAAGAAATATGCCAGCAAAAATAATATACTTTTATATGTTTCATAATACACATATTATGAAATAAAATCAAATTACCAAAGGCATTTTTATCTTCTGTCAGGTGATATAAATAAAAGTATATGTATGGGGTAACTAATTATGTTTAATTCAATTAGTTGCTTGATAAGCTTAACATATTTAAACTCGATTAATTATCAAATGGTTTACTGAATATTAGAAATCATTTCTTACTTACTATTTTTACTACACCGACTACACCTATGTAGTTTGTTCTCATAAATGTCTGTATTACTATTTAAATTAAATGCCGTTCAGAAACATATTCAAAGGTTAAACTCTTTTGTTATTTGTATATTTTTTAAAACTTCAGTTGCTGAGATATGTTGAAGTCACTCATAAGTCATAACTAAAATTGATTCAATAACGCGAAAATATAAATAAATGAACTCTACACAATAGGCACTCTAAATTTTTGTTTTCTACTGACAGGGGTTGCTGATTAGTGAAATCAGTTGAATGTTCTTTTGCGAATAGTAAAAATATTACATTTATATCAGAATGTTCGGATTATTCAGTCGACCAGTTTGACAGTTCGTTCCCTAGACAACATAATAATATAGATGTTTCTCTCTCGCGATATTTGCGTTCAGAGAGCTAGGGAAAGTCACGAACACAAGGTTGCGTGATGGCGCTTTAATCCCATGTCGCTCGGCAGCCTCGCGCTCCTAAATGCATTCAAATTAAAGCGCAAAAATTAGAAAATAAAAAAATAGGTAATTTTCAAAGTATTGTATTTCATTTTATCATTTCATTTTAATTTAGCAATACAACAATAATGTAATATACAAGATGTGTATAATAAAGTACATCAAATTACACTACAAACATAGATATAAGAAGAGTATATATATGTTACGGTAAATGTGCACTCTTGGTGAATGTTCAAAACGCTAGGTGAATGTGGAGTTCTCAATCAAATTAAAGAATTAAAGAATGGAGTACGTGCGTACTTGGAGCGGTCTCATGAACATCTTGCATACTTGACGCAAGCGCACTAAATAGTTAATCAGTTAATAGTTAATATTAAATAGTTGTATAGTAAAGTAGTAATATATATATTACTACTATTTAATATTAACTATTAACTGATTAACTATTTAGTGCGCTTGCGCCAAGTATGCAAACACTATAGTGTATAATGAATAATTAATATTAAATAGTAAATAGTAAATAGTTAATAGTTCAATATAGTTATAGTTAAATAGTTAATAGTTTAAGTAAATAGTTAAATAGTTAATGGTGAAAAGTTAATAGTTAATAGTAAATAGTGATAACTAAATAGTTTAACAGATAATAGTTAAATAGATGAATAGTAAATAGTGAATAGTTAATAGCAAATAGTTAATAGTGATAACTGAATAGTTAAATAGTGAATAGTTCATAATAAATAGTGATAACTGAATAGTTAAATAGTAAATAGTTAATAGTAAATGGTAAAATAGTTATTAGTAAATAGTGAATTAAGAATAGTTGAATTGTGGATAGTTAAATAGTGAATAATGAATAGTTAATAGTTAAAAGGTAAATAGTTGAATAGTAAAATAGTGAATAGTGAATAGTGATAACTAAACAGTTAATAGTAAATAGTGAATAGTGATAACTGAATAGTTTAATAGTAAATAGTGAATAGTTAATAGTTAATAGTTAATAGTTAATAGTTAATAGTAAATAGTGAATAGATAATAGCAAATAGTGAATAGTTATTAGTAAATAATGAATTAAGAATAGTTAAATAGTTAATAGTTATTAATTAAATAGTTAATAGTTT